TCACAGACTTCCCCATTTCAGTTGATGGGAACTCCATTACTCCAGGTAATTCAGCTAAAAACCTAGGAGGCATCCTGACTCCTCTCTCTCACCCTGTATCCTTTCTATCAACAAATCATGTTTACTCAGCCCTAAAACGTATTCAGAGTCCTACCACTTCTACCTCCACCGCCTAGATTCATCCACTCACCATCATCATTCCCGGATTGCAGCAATTAGCTCCTCACTGGTCTCCACGCATCTGCCCTTGCCTCTCTCATCCATTCCCAATGCAGCCAGCAGGGACTCTTTTAAAACAAGAGTCAGATCCAGTCCCTCTCTGCTCCAAACCTTGCAATAGCTACTCACGTCACTGAGCACATAACCCTATTCCTTACCCTAAGTCCTTACATGGCCCCTTCCTACCACTTCACCTCATCCCCTTTTCTCACCTTATGTTTTTCCATGGGATGTACGATTTTCTAACACACTGCACGATTGACTTTTTGCTTCATTATTTATTATGTATTGCCTGTCTTGCTCCCATCCCCCTGCAATGTAAGCTCCAAAAGAGCAGTGAGTCTTATCGGTCTACATCACTGACGTAGTCTAAGCACCAAAAACAGTGTCTGGTACTTAGCGGGTACTTAGTATGTGTTGAATGACCATGTTATACAATGTCTGGTGTTGAAAAGATGAAAGAAAGAATAGAGAGAAGGATGAATGGATGGCAGGAGGCATAAGGGGAGGAAAAGAAGGAGGTATTTTAAGGTCCGTGGCTGCAGAGAAAATTCCCTGGTCCTGCCAGCTCTAATACCTTCTCCCATGATCTGCAGCTAAAAGTTTCTAGGAACCAAGATGTTTAGAAAAAGCATTCCTTTGGGAAGGCAGCAGTGCACCCGACAGCAAGGAAGTGTTTGCGAGGTAGTTCTGGACACAGGTCCAGGGCTCATCGGTGTCTGTCATCCCCCCTGGCTGCTGAAAGATACAATCTCTGATGTGGGACTTCGTCAGGTGCCATCACCAGGTTCCAGGGAGGGAGGAAAAAGCATCTCTTTACTTCACCTCCTCTAAGGGGTAGGACTGAAACCCTTTTTTGTCTCCCTTCCAGCCCCAGGCACTCTCCTGCCCCGGCCCCTTCCTTCTTCTGGTAGGCCTTCTGGTCACCAGAGCATGAGGCCAGGGCACCATGGTTTGCCATATCCAGCCCACTCACACTAATGCCCCCATCACGTCAACTAGCAACGCTACTCACAAGACCCCCTCCCTGTATAAGATGAGGGGCAGAACAGGAGTACTGGGAATCAAACCCCAGAGGGCCCTCCATTGCAGGCGGCAAAAAGAGGGAGACAAAGAGTGTCCACACACGATCTCTTCCAACTTCTATCCAGCTGAAGTTCACCCAACCCTCTTAAACAGACAGCTTTTGTGTTCCCGTTCTTAAAATCAGTTTGCCAGATGTACTTGACCAGCTAGGATCCAAGGAGAAAGCTGCTTCCTTCTTCACACTGCCTTTCAGATAAGCTCTACCACGTCATCCCTCCAAATAGGTGATAATGTACCTATCATTCGGGTAGTTGAAATTGCAATCTCTCCATCAGTAGCTTCCTCTCCCCCAGCTGGGACCAGGCTCACATAGAAAAGCCTGCATGAGGCTGAGTGATGAGTGGGCTTCTTGGCCATTTCCCACCTTGTTCTTCCATTTGTTCTTCCTCTCACCGCTGTCTCTGGCTTCTCCAAGATCGAGAAAGAAGAAAGAGGTGAGGAGAATCCTACCCATTTTCCTTCCCCTCTTTCCCCTTCAGTAACACAGTGCTGATTGGTGGATGGGGAGTTCAAATATAATTCTCTCTAGCAGCCCACCAGCCCTCACCCCACACTTCTCTGTGTGTGAGACAGTGAAAATTCCAGAGAGTACAGGCAAGCTTGCTGAGGCCACTCTTGAACCCTCCAGTCAGCCTGAGGTGGGTTAAACTCCTCTTCCCTCTCCCAAGCATGTCCTCTATCCATGTTCTAAAGAAATCCCACTCTACTGTCTCAAAGGATCGATACCCAGCTCCCTTTGTATGCTTCCAGGGTAGCCACCAGGCTATGAGCGCAAAAGTATCTCTGGCCATCCCTTCTGCACATCTGTGTAGACAAATAATCTGGCTGCTCAGCTTGCAGAGATACCCATACCCTTGTTCTCAGCTTTGGAGCCTCAGTGATCGAAGCCTCATTTAGACTCCTGTTTCAAAGCCTTGCACGCAGTATTGATGAAGTGCCAGACCTGTTATTTCATTTAATCCTCAAAAGCAGTGGATCAATATTAGTATCCTATTTTAGAGAGGGGGAAATAAGCCCCAGAGAGTCATAACTTGCCCACATTCATGCCACCTCATAAGACCAAGGCCAGAAGAGTTCTTTTGCCCCACTCAGCAGCCTCCCCATCACACTGTCCATAACACCTCTCCCTCCCCACGCTCCTTCCCCCACCACTCCCACCACACAGAGTTTAGGTTCTGCCTAGACATTCAGAGCCTCTAACTCCCAAGTTCACTGCTATTTCTTGGAGAATCAAGAATCCGAAAGACTCACAGGAACCGACCACTAGTGGTCACAGCTGCCTGTGATTTTAGGTCATTTACAGAAGAGAGTGTGGGGGCCATTGCAAAACCTCACATTTGCCACCTCCTGATGAACACACATTTGCCCTGCTTCATTTCTGGAAAAGCAACCAGGCCTCTCCTTCTCCTTCCCCTTCTCCTTCCCCTCCTCCTTCCCCTTCTCCTTCCTCTTCTCCTTCCCCTTCTCCTTCCCCTTCTCCTTCCCCTTCTCCTTCCCCTTCTCCTTCCCCTTCCAAAGCGAAGGCAAGCACGCCCCCTCAGTAGAACCAAATCCAGAATGGTGCTGAGAGTCCTGCAAAATATGGGTTTGGACTGTCAGCCCTCCAATAAAGAGAAGGGCAGACAGGAATGGAGATCAATGCTGATTGCAAAAACACCATTCTTGCTGTTCTTTTTGATGGTTTATTTGACTGCTGATGAGGTCGAATGCTTTCCCTTGGCTTGTTTACTCTGTTTTCCATTTTCCCTCTCACAGTAATCCAGCTCCAGTTCCCTCCCAGGCAGCTCCGTCCCTTAACAAAGCTGGTGCCTGAGATTTGTTGTCTTGAGATGGGGGCTTGAGGGGTCCCAGCGAGAACAAAGGAGACCATCTGTTCCGAGAAGGTTGGGGTTAGGAAAGTCCCTACAGATGGAAAAAAGGGGAACGCCTCCCCTTGTGACTTGGTGGAAGGCAACAAGAAAAGGGGAGTGGTTGGGCAGGAGGTGATGTGCTAAAGTCCCGGCACCCCCATGACCCTGGGGTACAAACTCTGGGGTGAAGTGAGAATCCCATGTGTTTACAGACTTTAGAGCAGAAGAGACCCTGGCCTGGCTTCCTAGGGCATCTGGGAGGCCACAGGCCTCCCAAAGGGGCCATGACCCACCTGGCTTCTGAGCGGCAGATCAGAACTAGTGGAGGAACTGAACATCTCCAGAAACTGTGTGGCCATGGTTGACCCCGAGGAAGGTAATGTCTGGGAGCCTTATAAAGGACCTTGAAACTGGTGAATTCTGAACCCTGTGGATGCCCATGGTAGACAAGCGACCAAAATGTTCACAGTTCTTTACCCTCTCCCTGTACCCCTGCCATATGCTTGTGTAGCTCCTCCTATTGAGGGGTGAAGTCTATTTTCCAACCCTTGAATCTGGTATGGTCTTACAACACGCTTTGGCCAAAGAATGTGGCAGAAGTAACATTGTACCTTGTGACAGCTTCTGCTCTCAAAACTGCCCCTCTCATGGGAACAAGCCCAGAGTAGCCCCCTGAAGAATGCGAGACCACATGGAGGAGAGCTAAGGTGGCTCGGATGACAATCAGTCCACTGCAGTAGCAGAGCTACCTAGCCAACCTGCTGCTGAGGTCAAGTGCATGAGCAATCAGCAGATGTGAACAGAACCGTGGAGCGGATCCTGGGTGAAACAATCAACCCACGGAATCATGAATTAAATAAATGGTTGTTGTTTTTAAACCATCACATTTTAGGGTGATGTGCCGGTTACACAGCAACAGCTGATCAATGTAATGCCTGACCTGATAAAACAAATTAAATTAATTTTTAGTGAACCATGAAAATAAAAGAAATAGCTGCAATGAGCAGGTGATTCAGAAGTTCCCTGGGAGGATGACGTCAATGTCCTGAGGGTCTCACGAAAATTTGTAGGCCTGTCGTCAGTCCAAAGAAGCTCCTATACTTGGGTCTCCTCCACTGGAGGACGGCGAAGGGAGCCGTGGGATTTAGCAGCAGTGCCAATGCAAGTGGTCCTGAAGTGCCAGACAGGGCGGGCCATACCTCAGCAGGCCCAGCGCAAAGTTTGCAGCAACCAGGACTTCCTCATGACAGTACTCAGACGCAAGGCTGAGTTTCCTCTGCACCCAGAACTATCCAGAGTAGGAGGCAGGGAGGGGATTGCTGAACGCACGAGTTGCTGTTTTTTTTCCTGGGGAAGACTGAGTTCACCCAAAAGAGAACGATGACAGCATCTGCAGTGCTTACTCCACCCATGCACGCAACCATGCAACAGCCCAGGAAACTGAAGCACAAAGTGCCCAAAGGATTGCAATGACCAAGTGAAACCAAGATTTGGACCCAGACACTGTAGCTAAAGAGGCTACCAGAATCTGGAAGAGTCTGGGCTTGCTTTAATGGACTCAGAAACAAAAAGGCTCAGAGACAGTACATGGGTTTGATAGGTCACGCAGCCAGGAAGAGGCAATCCCCACCCTTGACCCAAAAAGCCTAGCTGATTTGAGCACACACTACGACAGCTATACTGACCTCCCTCCCAAGTGCTGAGGACAGTCTGTGGCAATGGATCATCACGGTTCAACCAGTGATTACAGGAACCACTGCCCAGACACGAAAGCCGGAAGCCCCTCCACCAGGCTCTTTCCTCTTGCATCAGCAGCCTTATCTTGCTGTAGTCAACACACTTCCCCAAGCAGCCTTCACCACCAGAAGCAGACACAGCCTTGCCCACAGGCTCCACTTCAGACTCCAACACGCATCAGAGAGCAAGGAGGCAGCCAGTCCCAGGGACCAGAGGAGGCACCGAGTGCCCCGCATCATGCCCACCCCTCTCCACAGGGCCCACTTGCCTCTCTCCCAGCTGCTGGTGTTGCTACTTTTCCTCTCAGGTGAGTGGGATCTGGGACAGAACAGAACATACCTCTGGCTGCTCCCAGAGAGGGGCACCAGGAGCTCTAGCATGCCTGGTGGGGCTCGAACCTGCCAAGACAGTAGGAGGAGGGTGTTGAGAACTTCCCTGCCCCCAGCAGAGCATGTACCAGTGTCCCAAGAAGCAGAACTTCCTAGGCAGCTCAGTCCCAGTTAAGCTCCCAGGCTTTGGGCTCATGCCAGGTGGTTTCTGTCTTGGACACTCGCGTGCCCATGACAGATGCCACAGCTTGTCTGCAAAACAAGACCACTTATGAGACCTTTCTCTAGAGGCATCGGGGGTATTAAACATGAAAATTGTGAGGAACAGCTTGAGGCCATTGGTGTAATCTGCAGGGCCCAGTGCAAAATGAAAATGCAAGTCCTTTCTTCAAAAAGTGTTAAGAATTTTAAGGCAACAGCAAACCATTAACTCAAGCATGGAGCCCTGCTAAGCATGGTGTCCCCTGTGACTATCCGCACCGAATGTCCAGGAACCAGCCCTGGCCCAGCCCGAGACAAAGCTAGGCTCAGTTTTCTTCTCTGTAAAACGAGGCTAATCAGAGGACCCACCTCATGACTTTGTTAGGAGGTTTCAATGAGATAATACCTATAATGACAGTTGACCCTTGAACAAAGCGAGGGTTAGAAGTTCTGGCTCCCCATGCAAGTAAAAACCACAATTCTCCAAAAACTTAACTAACAATAGTTTACTGTTGACCAGAAACCTTAGAATCAGTCAATTAACACAAATGTTGTGTTATATGTATGATAAACTGTATATTTACAATAAAGTAAACTAAAGAAAAGAAAATGTTATTAAGAAAATAGTAAAGAAAATACATTTATAGTGCTCTGTGTATTTATTGAAAAAAGTCTACCTATAGGTGGACCCGTGCTGTTTAAACCTATGTTGTTTTGGGGTAAACTTGTACCTGGCACAATGTAAAGATTTAATACTGTTGGCTATTATCATACAGACCAGCGTGTTTAGCTCCAGAGTCCTGGGTAACGCTCAGCCTCTGAGCCCAGAACACTGTGACCCACTAGACAGGAGGCTTGGCTCTCAGCAGGCTCATTCCATCTCTTGCTCAGTAGGGCCCCCTGCCCCCGGCCCTATTGTGATCTAGATTCTGTTCATCACACCTTGGGTCCTTCAGGATGGTCACCCCAGGAGGTACCCTGGTGGAACCCAGGTGTGGGGCCAGACCTGGATGCTCCCTTGTTCTCTGGCTCTGACCTGAGGCACTACTTCACTTTTCTGAGCTGGTTTCCTCGAATAAGGATAGCTAATATGTTTAGTATTTACCTTGTGCTGAGCCCTCCACTTCAATCAACTATTGAAAGATGGATATTGAAATCTCAAGCTACAACTGTGGATTTGTCTAGTTCTCCTGCAGTTCTATTGGGTTTTGCTTTATATACTTTGAAGTTTGGTTCTGAGGTACATAAATGTGTGGGATTTATGTGTCTTCTTGATTAACTTACTCCTTCATCATTATGAAGTGACAGTCTTCACAATGCCCCGAGGTCTATTTTCTCTGATATTGATGCAACCAGTCCAGCTTTCTTTTGATTTGTGCTCGCCTGCCTCATGTTTTTCCATCATTTTTCTTTTAACCTATTTGAACCTTTTACATTTAAAGTGCATTTCTTATAAGCAACAGATAGTTGGGTCTTACTTTTTTTATTCCATATGACAATCTCTAACTTTTACGTAGGATATTTAGACCATTTACATTTAAATGTCTATTTATATGTAAGTGGACATACTTGGTGATCCATAAACGGTGGTCCTGGGAAAGTTACCTAACCTCTGCAGGCACTCAGTGTCTTTTGTTGTAAAAGGGGATGTTGCTGCCCACCTCTCAGGAGTGTCAGGAGGAATAAATGCAGCAACGCATGCAGCGCCTGGTACATCATGAGCACTCAAGTGCCACCTGCTATTTCTAAGTTCTCCATTGAATGGCTCGGTTCTCTCCAGGCAACTGCCTCATCTCCTTCACCTCCATCTCCAGCAACACCCCCGGAGTGTTCTGAGCAGCTGTTCTTGGCCAGCTAATGACTAATTTCTGCTAAGTTTGCCTCTTAGGTCTCCAAGTCCTTCCTGCCCAGCTCAAGGTCTTTCTGCCTTTATTATAGGAACCTCTGAGCAGAGCAACAGAAATGAGTGGCAGATGCTGCAACCCAAGGGTCCCATGCTGGTGGCAGAAGGTGAGACACTCCTACTGAGGTGCACCATGACCGGCTCCTGCATTGATGCCATGGTAAAATGGGTCAAGGTGAGCAATCAGACCCAGCAGGAAATTTATAACTTCAAACATGGCTTCTTCCCTGGGGTGACACCCATGATCCAACAGACTTTGGAGCCACTTAATTGCGACTATTCCATCTATATTCATAATGTCACCAGGAAGCAGGCAGGAACCTACCACTGTGTGAGGTCTGATGGCTCACGTGAGCACTCAGAAATGCAGCTGGATGAGGGCACGTCGGTGCTGGTGAAGGGTGAGTATTAGACTCTGCTCTGAGCTGTTTCCCAACTTCCGTAGCTTTTATCCACAATCATTCTGCACACACAAAACTCTCAGTGGCACATAACAATTACTGTGTCTCACGCATTTACAGCTGGGGTAGTTCCATTCCACATGTCTCACTCCAGGGCCCAGATTGGCCAAAGCACATTTTTCTCACGGAGATGTCAGAAAAACAAGAAGGCAAGTCCCAACGCTCCTAACACATTTCAAGCTTCTACTGGCATAATGTCTGCTAAGAGCCCATTGGTTAGTGCAAGTCACATGACTCAGCTCAAATTCAATGGACAAGAAAGTGCACCCCGCCATCATGAGACCATGGCAGCAGAGGACAGTGGAGAACTGAGGCTGATCCTTTAATTTACCTCACTCCCTAAGGAATCAGTCAAGTTATCTACAAGTTCATCAGTGATGACCTGGATACCCAAATCCTGGGTGTGCCATTCAATGGAAGTGTGGTCTTAAATCAGTCACTTCACTTCTATGTACTTCAAGTGCTTAACTTGAAAAATAGGCAATGCAATTCCTGCTTCAAGAGTCCTTCAACCCTGGCTGGTGTAGCTCAGTGGATTGAGCGCGGGCCTGCGAACCAGACAATCGTGGTTTGATTCCCAGTCAGGGCACATGCCTGGGCTGCAGGCTGGTTCCCTGCAGGCCAGTTCCCAGTAGGGGATGCACAAAAAGCAACCATACATTGATGTTTCTCTCCCTCTCTCCTTCCCCCCTTCCCCTCTAAAGATAAATAAATAAAACCTTTTAAAAAATTTTTAAAAAAAAAGAGTCCTTCAGGGGGATGAAACAGAACAGATGTTTGTGAAACCCTCCGTAAACTGCTGACACGGAGAGTGTCTGTGTGTGGGGTGTGGTTGCGGGTGTTTCATTTTAACTTGATGCAACCATTTTAGGAAGACTTCTCTGACTCCTTTCAAGCTGTGGCTGCCAGTTTCTCTCGGTCTTGCAGTCCTGTAGGTTTCCCAACTCAGGGGGATTCTCTGGACCATCTCCACCACCAGACAGACCTTCTTCAGGGCAGGACATTGTGTGTCTTTCTGAGCTTCATTTCCCCCAGTTCTAGCATCAGCAAATTTACTACTGAGAACTTCTCTACTGAGTGAATGAACTACTGAGTAACGAAGGGACATAGGAGGAACTGGATGAGTGAAGAAGTCAGGGAAGGGGAAGGGAGAGATGATAGGAGGGAGGAAATGAGTGGGCAATGGAAGAAGAGAGAAAATAAAACAAGGACCTCTCTTTGGCTTCAGGAGCTGGAGACGAACAGCCAAGCCTCTGGATCATCCAGCCCCAGGAGTCAGTGTTGGCAACCCCTGGAGATACTGTCTTCCTGAACTGCACAGTGGTTGGAGGTGGCCCTCCTGGCCCCATCAGGTGGTTTCGGGGGACTGGTTTGAGCCGGGAAGCCATTTACAACTTCGAGGGCATCTCCCAGCCCAATGTGACTGCGGTCCAGGCCTCCAACAGTGATTTCAGCATTCTTCTGCGAGGTATCTCCACAGACTATGCAGGCACCTACTATTGTGTAAAGTTTCAAAGGAAATTCAACAGGCAATACCTGTCCGGACAGGGAACCAGGCTGAGAGTGAAAGGTGAGACAGGTGGCCCAGGAGGTGTTAACGGGAAGCGGGAGATTATCCACAAGAAACTTTCCACCATGTCCTGAACAATCCAGCTCTTGTTAGCTGTCATGCCTCTACACAAGCTGTGCCCTCTGCCTGGAATGTTTTCTCATTTTCTATTTGAACTCCTACTCATCCTTCAAAGCCCAGCATAAATAGCCCCTACTCTGAAACCTCCTTTTGTCAGAAAGAGTTAATTTCTCCCCATTCTGGGTTCCAGAGATCCTTCTATAGTTAATGATTCAGCAAACATCCAGCACGTGCTGGTTGACTGCTCCGCACTGCACACAGTGCTATGAATACTACAATGAAACAGACATTGCTTCTGCCCCAGAGATGCTCAAGCATGAAGGTCTAACTAGTCTTTCATGGCTAGGTTTGACTTCACGTAACCATGACAGTTATAAGAACTCAAATCCCATCCCAGGTAGAAACTGGCAGACTCATCCGGGTGACCCCAGCTCCAAACACAGGGCTCAGAAAATAGTGGGACAGAAAGAAAAATGGAATTCAAGACCACCTGTCTCCCTTGCAGCAAAGCCCACTTCTCCCCAAGAGCCAGAAGTCATCGATCAACCTGTAGCAGGGAGATTTCTGCCAGGTGAGTATACCTGCCTCCAGTGAAGCTAGCCAGTCCCCCACAGGCAAGGGGCAGGGGATGTGGGGAGATGGCTTAGCCATGGGCAGGGAGTGGTCCCTTCTAGGGCCCATCTGCCACCAAAAAAGTTCCTAGGACTTCATCTCAACTACAGAACCATGAACCCAGAGAATCTTGTTCAAGCTCAATTGGAGAAACAAACAGTCTGTTCAGTGGGCGGTCTTGCTTGCGAGGTAGTGGGCTCTCCATGATTCCTTGTAAGATTACACTGTAAATCTGTGTGTAACAGTGCTGAGCGCATGGCCCTCTAGCTTCCTGGATGAGCCCCTTTCTATCTGTGAGATTGTAGGAAGGTGGCCTCACTCCTTCACTGTCTGGTGTCCTGCTCTGTGAACTGCGGGGAGGGGAGGGCTGGAGATAAGGATCAGAGCCTACCTGGCAGAGGTACACATGTATCCCATGAGTCGCACATGCTGAGTGCCCAGCACTGTGCCTGTCACCTCACCCGTTAGCACTCGGAAGTTCTTGACAACTGGGGGGAACTAGAAAGAGAGGTGGCCAGGTACCATCCCTGGTCCTCAGCCCTGTTCCTGCCATTCTCGGGAGCCCATCACTTCTTTGATGCGAGTGGCCCAGAGCAAATCACGTCCCCACTCTTGGTCTGTATACAAATTGCATTGCTATCTACCTTGCAAGATTAGTTTGAGGACTATATTATGCAATTAGGAAGTGCTTAGCTGAGGGCCGGGGGCAGAGGAGCTGAGCAGCCAACACATGAAAGCAGTTTTCTGACATAGCGGGTCCTTGGATGATGGTATTCATCATTTCATTACAGTGTTGTTGAAATGCCATAGGAACTTCACTCTCGTTTATGGCAATTAGGCTATGGTAAAACTGGTTTTATTACACATATTATATGTTTTGCTTAAAGTCAAAGAACCTATTGATGACGTTAAGTGAGGACTTCCTATATTGTCAGAGGTCAGGGATGCTATCGATATGATTAAAGGTACAGGTAGGACATCGAGCAAAGCCTTTCTGGGCTTGGAACAAAGGGAGGGAGGACTTGCATCTCCTCTTCTGGGATAGAAGGAATGTGGCCCCAGAGGTTAGAGGGCAGCTGAGCCCACCACACCCACAGGGAGCACTGCGGTGTGGGCTGCTGAGGGCTCACCTGGGGCCCTTCCTGAACTCTCCTTTGTGTCCCGCAGGCCTCCTGTCTTTGCTCACAGTTGTCGTCCTGGGACTGAAGGCTGTGACCTTGGTTGCACTCCTGCTAGCCCTGGCTGCCTGCAGGAAAAGAAGCCCTGGGCAAGAAAACTTCAAAACCCCATGCCTGGCAAAGCTATGCTCATCTTAGTGTGGGAGCATGGGACATGGGTAAGGGGTCAGCTCCAGAGTGGTCCTCTGAATCAGAGAGGGGCCAGGGCTCCCCATTTCTCTGCCTCCAATACCAGGCTTCAGATGCCCCCCAGGGCTCATGACAAACTCCAGAAGCCCCACTCCTGGTTTCGGTTCACCTGGTGAGATACCCTGCTAGGCACAGGGCTGCCCTCTGTTTCTTCTCCTTGTCCTTCAAGGCCTTATCCAGGCCTCCCCTCAAGGCCCTTGCTCCTGCTGCAGTCCCTTCTGAAGGGCCCTCCCCTTTCTTCCCAACTCCACATTTTCAAAGTCTTCAAGATCTGACTCAGACTTCCCGGAAGGTATCCCTGATCATGTCTGAGCTCACCCAGACACACTGCCTGTGCCCCCCATTTATAGCCATCTCTCCCCTTTCCTGCCTTTTTTAATTCCCCCTGGTATCTGGCTTGGGTGGCTGTAATAGCTAGAATCCAGGTTTGCCAATTTAACAAAATTCATAAATAATGGTGGTCGAAACCAAAACAAAGTTGGTTTCTTCAGTAATGTCCAAGCATAAACAGACCAGGCAAAACAGCTGCTCCCTGGTATGGAGACCAAGGATTCTCTGATCATGTCCCTGCCAGGTCCACATCCCAAGCAGCAAGACCAGAGACAAGGCCATGAAAGGGAGCATAACATGCTCTTTTAAGGACACAGCTAGGAATTTGCCCACATCACCTCTCATTGGCTGGAATGTGTCACATGGTCATACCTGGCTACAAGGACGGCTGGGAAATGTAGTCTTTATTCTGGCAGTAATGTCCCGAGATGAAAAGGTGTACTAGAGAAACAAAGGTGACTATCAGCAGATACTGGAACTGTAGTTTCCACCTCATAGATGCAGCCTCTCCCTTGCTCTGTGCGACACCTGAATTCAATTCGCAGCTGAAACAGTACTTTTGTGTCACCTCTTGCAGCAGGGCAGCGTAATGGAGTGCAGTCATTCTCAGGAAGAGGGGACTTTGCCATCCAGGGGCATTTGGCAATGTCTAGAGACATTTTGGTTGTCACGAATTGGGGGTCACCCTCTAGCGGCTAGAGGTGAGGGATGCTGCTGCGTATATCAGTGTGATGCCCAGGGCGGCCCCCACAGCAGAGCTGTCTGGGCTGAAGTACCGGCCGAGTCCAGGTTGTGAAGCCCTGATGTAGGGGAGCATGCATTCCCTGGAGTCACACGCACCCGACTGCTGGTCCTGAGGCCCCCACCCCTCCCTGTGAGCCCTCAGTGACTAATCAGTCACCTCACCCGTTGAAACTTGGAGGATTACGCATAGGCTGCTCTGCGCTGTGTAAGAACCAGCATAATTCAGCATTTGCTGGGGACTTATTGTGCATCATGTTCACTGTGCCGCTCAGGACGTGTGAGCCCCCTTTCTTTTCTCTTTCCGCGTGAACATTTACTGGTACCTACTATGTGGGGAAGTGGGTTAGTCTAGAACATTTTCATCATAACAACAGAAAAGCAGGTTGAGCAAGCCTAAGACAATGAGGACACTAATTTTGTGTAAGAATCATCGAATTACCAGACACCAGAAAGCACAGACATGGTAGGGTAAATAATATCTCACACACATGCACACACACACACACACAAAGATTCCACGTCCTAATTCCTGGAATCTGCGAGTGCTACCTTATATGGAAAAAAAGGACTTTGCACCTTTTCATGGCACTTTAAAATGGCATTTCATATACATACATATATCAGTCCCAACCTTGCTGATTGGGCTCAACATTGGAGATGTGATTAAGGAGCTTGAGATGCACCTGGCTGGTTGTGGCTCAGTAGATTGAGTACCAACCTGCAAACCAAAAGGTCACAGGTTTGATTCCCAGTCAGGGCACATGCCTGGGTTGCAGGCCAGGTCCCCAGCTGGTGGGGGTGTGAGAGGCAACCACACATTGAAGTTTCTCTCCCTCCCACCCTTTCCCTCTCTCTAAAGAGAAATAAATAAATAAAGTCTTTTTTAAAAGAATTTTAGAAAAGGATCTTGAGATGCAGCAGTTTTCCTGGATTACCCAGGCAGCCCCTCAATGCAATCACAAGTATCCTGATGAGGTAGAATCGCAGAGAGACTTGACCCAGAAGAAGAGAAGGAAGCAATGTGACCTCAAAGGCTGAGACAGCAGCCACAAGTTAAAGATTGCCGGCAGCCGCCCACAGAAACTGGGAGAAGTGAGGAACAGATCCCCCAGCACCTCCCGAGGGAGCATGGCCCACTGACACCTGGATTCCAGCCCCACGGTACTGATTTCAGACTTTGGGTCTCCAGACCTATGACAGAATAAAGGTCTGTTGTTTGAAACCACCAGGTTTGTGAACGTTTATTACAGCAGCCAGGGGAAACTGACAGCAGGAAGCTTGGAGGTGGGACCCCCCAAAAGCCGGAGGTGGTTCTCTGCTTTGCCTTGAAAACCTCCTGACCTCACAGGGCCCTGCATGACTGGGTCCCCATCACCCATCCCACCTCTTCTCCCACCACCCAACTCCACTCCGGCAGCTGCCTGGGCCTTGACCACACCCCGTCCCCTAACTCATCCCAACCTCTGCTTAACGGCTCCCCCCAGAGTCCTCGCCAGACCACCACATCCACCAGGACACCTCCACCATCTCTCTCATTTCCCTCACGCAGCTTAAGTGTTCTTCACAGCACTTACTGCCACCCGAAATAAATGCGTGCATGTGTTTCTTGATGACCATTAGTTGCCCCCACTAGATGTGAGCCCGCCAAGGGCAGGAACCTAGCTTTTCACCATTGCAGCCCCTTTCGTTCTATCGTGAGAGGCGGTTGAAGGCTGACTGTGTGCCAGGCACTCACTAATCGGTGTTCTGAGAATAAAATGGGAAAGTCAGAGCTACCGTCCTGCCGGGAGAAGACAAAGAGCGAATAAATGTAGATAAGCAGTATTCACGTGGATAGAGAAGTAAGATGTCACATGGATAGATAAGTAAAATGTCACATGGTGGTGGGGACAAGGGAATAATAAGGCAGAGTAGGGGGCAGGTGATGGCATAGAAGATGCTGGAGTTGGCCCAAGGTGAGGCTGTTTTATTTAGGATGGTCAGGATAGGCCTCAATGATAAAGTGGCATTTGCCTGAGACCCAAAGGGCGTGAGGGAGGGAATCTTTCAGATATGCGGCAGAAGAGCTTACTAAGCACAAGGAGCAGCAAGTGCAAAGGCCCTGAGGCCAGAGTATGCCTCCCAGAGCACAGGAACTGCAAGCACCAAACAGAATATTTGGCACTTGTGAGCCCCTGGAAATGTCTGAAGGGGTACACGGGGTGGAGGCGAAGTTCATGCTCTTGGGAATCTGACTGCACAGGCTCAAATACCAATTCTACTCATCGCTGGGGATGATTTTGTTTCTCCCAGTGCATCTTGGTTTTCATATGTGCAAACTATTAATAACACTAGCACTGCCCTTCTGAAGTAGTTCTGAGGCAACTGCCTCGGTGCGTGTAAAGCACTAACTGTGCCTGGCGTGTGGGAAGTGCTAAGTAATTGCTGCTAGGTGTTGACAGAACAATCTGCCGCTGCCATCCCACAGGTGACAGGGAGTGTGACAGTCCATATTGCCTGCCCCTCATCTTGTGACTGCAGCCATCAAGAGGGACCTGACTCTTACGATTCAGGTTTTAAATCTTGGGGAAAACACTCATGTGACTTATAGGAACATGGCAGGGAAGGGGTATCCCCAAAAGACATGAAGAGGGTGCTGGCAAATAAAACAAAGTGGGTGATTCGGCACCCTTGGGGGGCACTCAGGGAAAACCTGCTGCTGACTGAAAGAAGGGGAAATGAACTGAAGCCAAGGTTTCTCGGCCCTGCCACTCCCTTCCGGAGGCCTGGAGCCCTGCACAGGCGTGATGGCCGACCAAGATGGGGGGTGGGCAGGGGAATGGGGTGTGCACGGCTGCCGCAGCTCCCACCAGGGGCTGACAGGCTTGGGCCTTCGGATCCAAACTTTGGGACATCAGTGTCTGCACTCCAGGCCTCCATGACCGGAGTGTGTTTCTCTTCCTCTTCTGCCTTCTCCCTTCCTGCTGCTCTTCTTTATCCCCTTCCTTCCCCTCTGTGGTTCTCGCCCCTCTCTTTCCCCTCAAGGACCCCCACTTCCTCCTGCAGATAAGGTGAGCATAGAACTGGAGGAAGATGAGAGACAGACACCATTCCACGGAGACCCCTGTATCCTGACACCGGGGGATGAGGACTCTGAAAGGTCAGTGTTGGGGTAAAGTCGGAGGGGTGCCAGGGCCTCCCAAGTTTACGCCACTGCCACCCACAAGACACAACACCTGGGTTCACACTCAGAGTGCAGTGGTGTGGCCCTGGGCCAGGCTGAGGGGGAAGGAGGGCCAGGCCTGGTCAAGCATAGAGTTTCTAAACTCTATCTAAATGGTGCTTTATACACATACGTGTATCAGTCCCAACCTTGCTCTTTGGGCTTGACATTTCAGATTTACCGAGGTTGGTTACCTGAAGCTCTAATCCATTCATCTTAGCGGCTGTATCGTATTCCTCTGCACCAATACGTCACATCTGGGAATTCTCTTGATGACTGGAGACCTAAGGTGTTCCAGTGCTGCACTCTCTCACACACACAGAGACAATTTCACTGTGTCTCTTGGGGCCTGCATGCCGGCATTTACCTGGGGTGTAGGCCCACAAGCAGAGTTGGAAGGTTATGTAGGTGTCATGCTTCTCCAGCTTCACTGGTTTGCCAAATTGTGTCTCACCACCTTTCGAGCCTACATACACTTCTGCCAGACATAACGGGACCATTCCTGTTGCCTCACATCCATGCCAATACTTCACGCGATCAGACCTGTAAAATGTTTTGACCTCTGGATGGGACTAGAGGGCATGCTCTTGAGGTCTCACTGCTGACTAGTGCAGCGAAGCATCCTTTCATCCATAGACTGGCAGCATTGTCATAGGATGGGTCGTAGTAGTTAGTAGTTGGTTTGGAGAAGTTGTGAAATGGGAGAAATAGTCCCAACTGTGCTGAGGCAGTGGTGGTAGGGAGGGGTGAAAGGTGCTTCTGTGTATGGACGCGTCTGGAAGATCTGACTACCAAGTGAGAATCGATAGGTTGCTCCACCTAACAACAGCTCTCCCTAGACAGCTAAGCTATAGAGGGGTCTGGTGTTTGGGAGATGGGGGGGGCACTGAGGGGAGAGGCAGAGGCCCCACCCACAATGACATCACCAGGAGTTGCAGTGCCCAGACAGAGGAGGAGAGCCACAGGAAGATGCGGTGAGGACCCATAGAAGGGAATACTATAAAGGGTGGGACTAGGTAAACCTAGGGTGGGAACTAAGGTGGGGATGAGATTGGAGGGGGGATGGGAATGAGACCTGGGGTGTGAAAGGGTCAGGGCAGCTACCTGACCCACCAGACTGCTCAGGACCCAGTCAGGCCAGTTTTCCGAAGGGCTGGACTGCCCTTGACTCAGTTATCCCGAGGCTTAATCCAGTCATCCCCCCACCCCACACAGTGGACATTTGACACCAGCCTCAATGGTCAGACCCACACTCCTGTATCTGGGAACAGCCCCAACCTTTACCTAACCCATTGTCCAGGCTCACATCCTGAAACCCTGATATAGGAGACCGTTCTGCTTGGCATGGGCCCAGCTCTCACGGGGAGATGCACAGGACCCACGCCCACGGACAGGTTCTCCCATGGGGGGGTCAGGCCTGCTATGTACCTAGGCCGCTTTGAGTCTTGCTTTTTCCCTAAATACTCCCTCACCCAGATTTGTGGCAAACATTTACTGCAAAGTAACTTCCTAGAATCCATGCTAAACCTTCCTAGGACCAGTGTATCGGGTTCAACCACTTTTGCCCTTTTCATTTGCAAATATCCCTCTTCTGTGATGTGATTAGCAGCTTTGGCTCCTTTGTTTTCTATAAAAGGTAACCCCCTAAAGCCACCTGTGCATAGTAAATGAGGAACATCATGTGATGTGCTGAGAAACCCAATAAAGGCTGGTCCTGAGGGAGGCCTCAGCTTTTGCTGCCCTTGAGAGAAAAGCCATGCTGTCCCTTTTCCTCCACAGGTCTCGGTAGTTCTTGTGACTGTCTCATTCCATCTATAATGACTCAGACACTGCGGGCCAGTGTCCGCATCACCCTGAGGCTACAGTCCAGAAGAGGAAGAGACTAACCCCTCCCTTATTTCCCCCACCCCACCCCCCACAACCCTGAGTTTTTTCCTTTAAAAACCCCATTCTTGCTTCCCTTCATGGATGCACTCTATCCAGACTCAACCTGCCTATAAGTGCAGCATCAAATAAAGGCACTTGGATCAAATCATCCAGCTCCACCCCATCTCTATCTCCCACGAATTTATAACAGGGTGGAAGCAGACCTTGGAGGGTAGGGGTATGTACTAGTAAGGAAGGGTTTAGGGGTGAACAGGTGGGTGGGTGGGTCAGGAGGTGGTGGGGGTGGGTCTTCAAGGTAAAGGAGAAGGTAGAGGTGACAGTGGTATTGAGATTTGGGGATGGGGATGGAGGCAGGAACAAGGGACTGAGCTGGGCCTGCAGCACCCTCCCCACTCATTTTCATGAAGCACATTTAGATAAGTGTTACCAAAGTGTAGTTTCAAGCTGACACCCTCACATTCCCTTCCAGTCAAATTGCCACCCTAAATGCCTGCAGTCAGATCACCAGGAACTGCCTCCAGACACTAGAGGAGATTGACCAGCACAGTCCGATGGACCAAGGACAGATGGTGGTGTAGTGGCTCGGAACACAGCACCTGGGTTCACACTCCTTTAGAAGTCTAAGGTTTTGTTATCTGTAAAGTGGAAATGATAATGGAACTCACTTCATAGAATTAGTGTATTTAAAGTTCTTTTAAGAATACCCAAGGCACCCTGGCTGGTGTTGATACAGGGTGCAGACAGGGGGCCCCCAAAAAAGATTTAGAAAAGTGTCCAGAATTCAAAGTGTATAGAAATATTGGAGAGACATATAAGATGTCCTCACCGTCCCCCCCCCCCCCCCGGGGGAAGGGATGAATGGAGCCAGGCCATTGAGAGCTGTTTTGCATAGCAACAGTTTTGGAGCTAACCTCTGGAATGGTTATTTAACATATCTATAACCTTTAACTGGTTTCATAGATATGTTAAATAACTGTGGCCAAGTTTGGGGCCGAGGAAGAGGGGAGAAGGTAGTAGCTGGGACTCAAGATGGGAGCTATGAGCTGTTCTCCTGAGTGAGGAGAGCTGGGACTCAAGATGGCAACGAGGGGCTGCTCTCCGGAAGGAGAAGGTAGTGGACGGGGACTCAGGAGGAT